CCAAGAAAAAATCCATTTAGGCTTGGAACAAATTGTCTGTAGATTATATTTGATTATTAATCAATTTATTCCTTACGTATTCTAATGCATTTTCTGGTGATAAGCCTTTTAACTCCTTATTTTGAAACCTATGATAACATGTTAATGGTCAGGATGAATTCTGGTGTCCCATTGCATGATAACGCTTCTTCTTTTTCTTTTTCTTTTTTTTAAATGACCATCAGCCCGGCGCCGGTTCCATTTTACAAGCGCTCTTTAAATCACTGTAACTCCATTACTGTTTCTGCTAGAGACAAAATCCAAATGGTTTCGCAAAGAAGAGAAGAAGAGCTTTAAAGGGACATTCTGCGTTTCACGGTAGCACAAAGGCTTCACAAGGCACTGCTGACTGAACTCAGAAAACAAAAAATCAGCTCCGCCTAGATGTTACCATGTGCGCTTCACATTACCATAACTCCTCAACCATTTTCGGGTAGAGAGAACATTCAAATAGTTCCTGAAAGATGAGAATTATTTTGCAATTTTAACTGCCAAAGTTACAAAGTAATTCCTGGCAGCCTGCAAGATACTTGGGTGATAAAGGTACAAAGTGCCTATCTGAAGGTCATGTACCACAGTACACTGCCAGATGTACTTTAGTATGAATATCCTTTTGCCAGCCACTTTATTGAGTACACTTGTTCAAATGCTTGTTAATGGAAACATCTAAAAAATCATATGGCAGCAACTTGGCATATAGACATGGTCAAGACAACCTGCTGAAGCTCAGACTGAGCATCGGAATAGGGTTGGCATGGTTGTTGGTGCCAGATGGGCTGATCTGAGCACATCAGAAACTGCTGATATACTGGGATTTTCCCACACAACCATTTCGATGGTTTACATGAAATGGTCCAAAAAGGGAAAATATCCAGTGAGCAGTAGTTCTCATGGCAAAAAAGCTTCATTGAGGCCAGAGGTCAAGGGAAAATGGGCAGACTGTTTTGAACTGATAGGTAACAACCAAAGTATGCATAAGAGTATCTCTGTATGCTCAACATGTTGAACCTTGAAGCGTTAGGGCTACAGCAGCAGAAGAGCACATCGGGTGACAACAGGAAACTGAGACTATAGTTTGTACGGGTTTATCAAAACCGGGCAATAGAATGTTAGCCGGTCTGATGAGTATGCACTTCTATGTGACACTCGGATGGGAGATTCAGAAACTGACATAAACAACATGAAAGCGTAGATCCGTCCTGCCTTGTATGTGTACCTTTAGGGCCCCTAGGAACAACTGAGGTTTGCTTAAATGCCACAGCATGATTGAGTATAATTGTTGATGATGTTCAATCCTTTATGACAACAGTGTACCAGCAGGATAACATGCCATGGTACAAAGCTCAAATCATATCAACTTTCTGTTTTTGAACATGACATTGAGTTCTTGTAGTCCAATGTCCTCATCATTCATCAAATCTCAATCCAGTACAGCACTTTTGGGATGTGCTGGAGCCGAGGATGAATGTACGGCTGACACATCCACAGCAGCTCCACGATGCTGTTGTGTAAAAATGGAAATCTGAAAGGAATGTTTCCAGGACCTTGTTGAACCCATGCCACAAAGACTTGAGGCAGTTATAGAGTATACTTAATATTTACATAAAAACAAAGTTTGGATTTACACAGTTTGATTTATACGCACTCATATGTACCACAGCACTATACCATGAGTTATAGTGCATATTATAATGATTTCACGCTAAAACGTGGCTGGATGCAGCACCAGCAGACAGCATCATAACACAGCTACTGATGCTTCACATTGGGGCATGAGCAGTGAATCACCTCTGGACTGAGCCCTGTGAAGTGACTAAAGATCTGCCAATACAGGGAGGATCGAGGCTAGGACAAAGAAGACGCAACTCTGTGGCTACCACACAGCTGCATCTGATCAATACCTTGTTGGGAGGTTGTAAAGGAAGTAATGAGGTAGTGCATAAGCTGTCAGTCAGTATGTTTTTGTTAGGTTCTTATGAGGGTCTGATGTGAGTAAGCACCTAATAACTAGGCAGGCTGGTTGAATGTAGAGCACCTTTGACATCTTCTAACATCTGGCTGTCTTCCAGTAATCTCTTTTCATTTTTCCCACCTCATTGAGAACTAGGCAAGCAATGCTATCGCTGGACCATTTACTGAGTATGATCCAACATCTGTCTTGCTCATGTCTCTTGTTTTGGCATTAAACCCCCCCCCCCCCCCCCCCCTCCTTCCCTTTTCTCGTCTCCGTCTTTCACCCCCTCTGGTAGCCGTCACAGCCGCTGAAAGATTTCCTCTCACTGGGAGGCTCCTCCGAGTCACTGTGGCAGTGTCAGATGAGGCTCCTATTTAAGCTCATTAAATGTTTCCAAGAGAATAGGAAATCAATGGTGCATGCCGTTGCGCGAGAACTTTTCTCTTAATTTAATTTCCCCTCCCCCTTATCTGTTTGCACATCTCTCTCTCCTTCTTTTTCTCCTATCATTCTTGTTCTTTCCAACTTGTCGTTCTCCTTTAAGCCGTGGAGGTGGGCGAGGTGGGGAGGAGGGAAGGCAGAAACGGTTGCCTTCAGAAACTATTTCGGACTTGTATCTGTGACAGGCACCGTGGTGTGAAGCTGTCCAGACTTTTCAGTGTTGTTTAGCGCGCTCGCCGCACAAAGCACAATCAGCCGGAAAGTTTTGCGCACAGTGACCCGACCTGGGGTTTTTAAGCTTTGCTTTCAGGCCGTGCTGTTAAGGGAACAGGTTGCAACCAACCAGAGCAGAATGTTGCATTGAAAACATGTGGCGCGGTGACGTGTGGCTCGAGATGACCCCCGCCCCTCCCGGTTTAAAAATCCTCCCACCTCACGCTTGCCTCCCTCCTATTTTGAGTTTTATTCGTCATCTCATCTATTTTGTCCATCTGTTTAGTTTGCTTGTAACAAGTTTTTCTTCAATTTAGGCAGGCAAATTAATGTGTGTGTGCACGCTTGTAAATCCTTGTGAGTACATGTCTGGCAGGGCTTTGTGCCGTTTGAAACTATGCCTGCGGGCTGGGCCCACACCTTCTCTGGATCTCCTGTAATTGCTCTTTTGGGGCCTTGTCTCTGGCTCTGAGCCCGTCTCCATCACTCTCTCTCTCTTTCTCCCTTGCTCTTTGGCCTTCTTCCTTTTTTTTCCTTTTTTTTTTTTTTTGCCCTCAGTTCCACTTTTCTCCCCCTGCATGGCTCATTATGGCTGATCCCCACCTGCCCAATCTGGGAATTGTCTGTCTGCCTGCACGCACAACACACACAAACACACACACACAGCAACTCAGCAGTTTTTAGAGCTGCCTGTCGCTTCGTTGGTTTGTGTACTATCTGCTATAAAACAGCTTTGCTAGTACTGTTTGGCCAAGAAGTGGAAACAATAGTGCTGTCACATTTTTTTCTCCTCTTCTCTTGGTGAAAACAGACAGTTTCTCGTCTTTGCTGTGGCTGTCAGAGCACCATTTTTCATAAAGCCCTGGCCCTTCAACCTTAGCGTCTGCTTTTGTATACCGTAGCCTCAACCACATGCTCCTAACCACAGGCCTCCTCCATTTCCATTTCAGCCCTCCCTTCAGCCTGTCACCCAGCAGCCCCTCCATGCCTGTTCCCAGGCTAGGGGGCTTACTTTGAAGGATAATAGATGTGGCCAGTTGCAGCTGCTCAGCAGCAGGGCACTATCATAGGAGTTATCTAAGGGCCTGAGAGTGGTTGGTGATGAATGGCTGGGAGCTCTGTGTCTCAAACAATCAATAAACCACTAGCACCCAGATGAGCTAGATGCCCCTTCACTCTCCGCTTCCCCCTCTATCTACGCATATATCTCCTGCTCGTAATCTCCCACTATGTTTTGTGAACTTTTCCCTCCAATTCATGGCTTGAATTGGGCCATTGATCTTTTATCCTTGGCTTGTTTTAAATAAAGGGCCAGTATCTTCTCTCCACCCAAGCATGCAAGCTCTCCGACAGCAGTTATTGCTACACAAGCGGCAAAGCTCACAAACATTACTTTAGACTGATCGAAGGCCCGTAATCTGAGAGGGAAAACAGAGAAAATGAAGGGGAGCGTGTATGAAGCTGCTGTCCCGCCCCCACCCAATCTGTAGCACTGCTGTGGTTTTCATTGCAAGGCTGATGCAAACAGAGGTCCCATGTGGATGTACACATTTGTAATGCAGGCAAACACAAACACACGCGCATACACCAAACAGTCTTTCTGTCAGGGCTCATTGAGCACAACCTGTCCCAAAGCACCTCAGAAAGCCTCATCCACCCTCTCTGAATTGTCTCAGTGTTGTGCGCACACTTATGCGATGCCTCTTCAGACAACCAAAGTGTGTAAATTTTTATTTCCACTGCAGAACAACAGGTGTGTCATAGTTACTGTCTGTGTTAGTTTTTGATCTTCTTTTCCCCCCCCACATTGCCGGTGAGAGATTTCCAATGAAAAGAGACAACTGGAAATCTCTCTTTCTCTTTGTCTTTCTTTTTTCTCACCTCCGGGTAGTCTGTCTGTATCCTCTTTCTTCTTCTAACACTACGCTCTCCTTCTCTCCTCGAACTACAATCCTACCTCTTATTTGTTGTTGTCTCTGTCACAAAGAGCAGATTCTCAACTTGGTAATTGCATGTCTGTTCGCCACCACACCTGTTGCTGTCAAGTCAGTAGTGTGGGAAAGAGGGGGAGAGCTGCACCCTCTGGCCTCTATAGCCCTGACTCTCTACCCCACCATCACCACCTTTGTTGCAGGTGTAAGCCCACAGGGACACGGGAGTGTGATTCGGCCAATGTGTACACGTGTGGTATGGTGTGCTCTGATTGTGTTTATCTGTAACCTTGAACGTCACCTCTTGGTGTGCGTGTTTGTGCAAATGCATGTGTGTATCTCCTCAAACCTGGCCCCTGCTGACAGTTTACTCTCTCACCTGCTAATCCTCTCCACCTCCTCTCCTCTCTCCCTTTATCCAGAGCCCAGGCCCTTAATGAAGCTGGGGGTCAGCGGTGGTGTGCGGCTAATTGGCCAAGTTTGCCCGGGGCTCCGGCAGCCTGTGATTGAAGTGTCCAGCAAGCACCGACTGTGCAGTCACTGCTGCACCCTACTCTGTTTCGCTTCAACAGCCAAGACAGTCGTTGCACCCCTGTCGGCCTCTCCCTAGTGAGTAGCACCCGAGGTCATTTTATTTTCTCACTGCACAATACTCCTTTCCAGTCTCCTACGCTCTTGTGCTAATTTTGTGCAAAGAAGATTTCTTTACCTATTTTATGGATCACCAGGTCTGCAATGTTAGAACTTCTACTGTGGAATGTTTAGATAAAGATTGAAGTTTCTGTCTCTGTGTCCTATGCCTCTGTATTTTTTAAAAAGATTATTATGATTATTATTACTAGACTTTCATTCCCACACTTTATCCCAGCATTTTCTTGGCTTGCGTGACCCTCACACTCTGTCCTCATTTGCCACAGTGGGATTTAGGCAATTACCACGGTCCCCCATTGGCTAGCAGCCTGAAGAAAGAAAAAAGAAAAAACAATCCTCCAGGCCCAGCTCTGGCCAAGCTTTAGCTCAGTGTTCTGAGTGAACAGGAGGGGATGAAGTAATGGAATGGAGGTATTTCTAATTAGTTGAACCTCCTACTTCTCTTCGTTAAGGCCTTCCTGACTCCCGGTTGTTTGGCTGTCAATAGCAGAGGTAGAATAGCAGAGGTAGGAAGTGGTAGTGAGGTCAATGGTAAAGTCTGAGCAGACAGGAGGTACAGGACACAGAGAAGGCACTAAGGCAACGACTCTGCTACCCAGCAGGCAATTGTCCATCTCACCTGGGAGATATGCAGGCAGTGCTTAGCCACAGTACACCATTGAAAACATCTTTTCTTTCTTGTCGTGCTTATAGAAGCGGAACATTGCTGACGAGTAAATGGTTTGTGTCAGGAAACAATGGTCCAATTATAAGTCAAGTCTTAGCCTACTAGTTGGGAGAAGTTCTAGTCTGTCAAATCTTTATTTGCACACCAGTAGGTTTCCATTCTTGTTTATTAAAGAACGCAAGTGATTAGATCTGCTCCGAGGCTTCATTAAATGAAGCTCCCCAGTAATTATCTACACTCACAATAGTTTTGTGTAGACAGCTGGAAAAACTAAATGTTTTCACATTTAATTTAAGCACAGAAAAAGGACCGTTGTTACCACTCGTCTGATGACGTGAATGAAAGGGTGAGCAATATGAACATGTGATCTCGTGAGGCATATTTCATCACTTCTTCTGAAACCGTTCCTGGATTTACTTTAAATCCCAAAGCTGCCACCAAGCCTCAGGACTTGCAGGTTTCTTAGGGTGTTACACTTGTCCATCTGTGGAGTGCTTAACGTGACAGATGACTCCATTTCTCACTCATCTTCTCCCTAATCAGCTGTTTTTTTTCTTCTTCTTAGGTCATAATTCTTGTGCTCCAATTTCCCTTGCAGCATGCCTGCCAGCCTACCCGCTGGTGTTAAAGATAAACAAAATATGGCTCATTTGAAATATAGGCTACACCAGGTGGTTGTTTGGCCTATGCTGAATGATTAGAAGTTTGGTGGAGCTGTGGCTTTCATCAAAGTGCTACAGTTGCGACTCCAAATAGATCACATTAAACAGGCACACTTTTCTGTTTTTTAATTTTTCTTTGCTGTTTTTCGTTTTGATCCTTTGTTGTTGACTCAGTTTGTCTCACATCCCAAAAGATGGTGTGAATGTTATGGTAATGACATGCTTTTTGGTATCCATAAGGATTAGGAGGTGCCAGTCATTTCTCCCATGAGGCTTTGCCTTGTCACAACCCTGGAGCAAAGACATACTTGGGGGATGAATGAATTAGGATGCACTTGAAAAATCTCTCTATTTTTTTTTTGTTGTCTTTTGTGTTGTGGGTGGGTCCCTTAGTTTTTTTTTTTCTTTCTCCCTTGTGTGTCACTGCCCCCCCCCCCCCCCCTTTTTTTCCCTTCTGCATTAAATTTTGATACTTTGAACGTTACTAAAGTAGTTTTGCACTCTTAGTTTTGCATGCTTGACTTGCTCCTTGTTTACTGTGTAAAATGTGCTATTTTTGAAGTATAATAGCAAAAATAAGTAAACAAGACCATTTAACTTGCAGTATTTCAAAGAGGAGGCTCATAGAAGATATTGTTTTCTAAAAAGGCTCCACGCTTGTTTAGAATATTGCTGATGGCGATACCCAAGCCGTGGCACTTTTGAAGTTGGTTCAGGTTAATCAAGTGAGGAGAAAGCTGTCCGACATCAAAAGTCCTTTCTATGATACTCAAAATGACTCTGAGTTTAAGTATGAATCCCCAGAAATGAGAGTGAATAATTCATTTGTCATGCTAAATCAAAGTGATGATCCTAACTTTAAGGCCTGTGATCTATTGAAATTGTCACAGTGGTTTGTCAGATGACAATGTTTCATGTAATCTGAAGCCAACTGCTATGATTAGGTCATAGCAGGGTAAAAATCTTCAGGCCTATGCGGTCAGCACAGAGCAGGTCGAGCCTTTAGAAAATTTTCATTACCAAAAAAAAAGTCACAGCATTGCAGGTGTATACTAACGTCTTTTAAGGCTGTGCAAAAATGGTTTAAAAAGCCTGCTAACGTGCTCCAGGCATCACCAGAAGCCAACATACCCCCTCATCACCAGCCTAAGTTGGGTTTTCTCTACGGAAAATGGCGAATGTCGTGTCCTTGTGGTACAAAAATAATATAAAATACCTTCTCCCTGACTCATCACTCCTGCCCCTCCTCCTGCAAGTTCGCCCCAACTCCAACATGGTACTGCAGCCCTCCATTTCCACTGCCTCCTGTGAATATCCAAGCTGTCGAGGCTGACTGGGCTGAGCGTTTTCTTGCCAGGGCACAGTTGGACCAGATCCGGCCTCCGGGCCACATATACCGCACCACTCCAGCCCCTGCAAACAAGGCCTGCCCTGTGCAGCTGTCATCTAAATGCTAAGCGCTTTGGATCGCCACGGCCGATTCCTTTTGTACATACTTACTTGTTTTTTTTGTTCGGTTTCTTTGCGACTACTTGCTCTCTTGGAACACGATAGCTTTACATTCTTTACAGCTTGCTGACTATGAACTTCTATTTGTGTTCGTTTTGTGAAAAATACTGAATTTCAACAAGAGTGGGAGTATTTTTCTTTTTTAATAACAAAGGTATATAGTTGCAGAAATCTGTATAGATGCTGCAGATGCTCTTTGTCTATTTTAAGGATTGTGAGCTTTTACTCAAAGGCAGGTTTTTAAGCAACAGACTGTTATCTTTCAGATGATTGTATATGACCTAATCATTGCATCTGTATCCTCTGGAGGATTACAAAATGTGGTTGTCTGGCTTTATATAGGTATTGTGAACCAAGCCCATTTTAAGGGGAGGCAAGTTGAGAGACAGATTCCAGATGAGCCTCTCAAACAGTTTCATGTCAAATCCACAGACATACAAATCTCCACAATGATCTGCCAAGTTTCTGCTGAATTCACTGGAGCAGGAATAGCAGAATTTCACACCCCAGCACTGAGCCCCCGCTCCCCTCCTCTCAGCCATCACTGGGCGCTGCTTGGCAGCAGAGGATGATGGGAAACATCTGTGAAATTTGCTGTGTGTGTGTGTGTGGATGGTTGAATACACTCACCAGATAAAGAATTTTGTTTTTATGTTGGGTTTTTTTCTTTTTTTGAGACATCTTTTGTGTAACATCAGGTGAGCACATTCTTTTTTTACTAAACAAACCTCACGGTGGAATAAATGTAGATGCAACAGGCAAACTGTTTCAGTAGTTAAATTGCTCAAGGGATAATCTTTTCGAATTGTTCAGATAAGCGAGCAGCAGCAAGTGAGGAAAAGAAGAGGCGGTTATGCACTTCCTTCGCAGCTAAATTACTTCCGGTGGATGACAAAAAGGAAGGAAAGGCAGCCCCCTGTTGGCTTAATTTTCTATTTTTACACAGCTTTCAATACTAATCATGCTGCGTTTGCACGCTGACTAGTATATTATCTAGAAAAAAAGAAAGAAAGAAGAAGAAAAAAAAACTCTGAGAGAATGATTCAGCTGATCCTCTGGATGCTCCTCTGCAGCTGCCAGCGATGTGACTGCTCAGAGTCACTGAAGTCTCTTTTATTTGGGTGTGCTGTGCTATATAAATAATGAAATGGAGCCCGTAATTGGTGGTTCTTGGTAATTAGGACCAAGCTGTCAGCTAGCGAAGTTGCCTCAGTCTGATGGCGCTGTAGCTAGGGCAGTAATTACTATTATCTTTGGGGACTGTTGACACAACAGTAATCCCATTCTCGTTGTAAGGATAGTGGGGCCTATGTTTTCTGTCCCTATTTTAAGAGGTCTGTCTGTAATAATACCACAGACTCAAATTTTCAGGTATCTGCATTAATGCTCGTCAACACCAAACCATGGGTGCTAATGGAGAGGAAGACCTCTCTCCTTAAGTTTGCTGTTTGGTGACTATGTGTGAAGAGCTTGTCCATATTTTCATTAGTCAAACAGTTTGACTTTTCCCTTTGAGCGGTGTGACGCCCAACCATAAACAGCATTATCAACCATCTCAGCAGGTTTTCTAATACCCCTGTAATCCTGTCATTTCATTCATGGATACCGCTGGGGTTATACCAGGCTTGGAACGTATCTGCCCGCCTGTCTCTGCTCCTCTGTGTGAGAGATTGGATTCCCCAACTCCCTCTCCTGCTTCGTCTTGCCACACACAAACACACATGTTCGTGCCCCAATGTTCACTCATCTCTTGTCATATCCTCACAGTGTATGGGCTGGTCAGACACGATGAGATGTATAGGGTACAGGGCGATGGCAACAACGTGCCCTGTGTGTAGGTTTTTTTCCTAGTAGCAGATAATAACTTGCCCTTGCTAAAGTGAAGTTCTGTTCATCTGACTCGAGGCTTACAAGCACAGCATGTACTACATGAGATGAAGAAAGTGAATGTCTTAAAAAAAAAGGGGGGGGGGGGTGCCCAGGTGACATTTCCTTTTCCCTGCCGTGTTGTAAACGAATGAACCTGCTGGAGACTTACATTGACTGTATGCAAGAAAGGGTGGAGTGTGATTATTGCGTGAGTGGGGAAAAAAAGAGCAGTGAGGGTGAGCAAAGGACAG